CATAACAAACTACTTAAATAAGAAATTCTGTCAACGTTTATTAACATATCACTTAAAAAAAGAAATATCAAATTTCAGAAAATATCAAGGAACCACAAACTATTATTAAATTATACAAGAAGTAAAATGTATTTATATGTCGAAGTCACATTTATAGGTCCGGTGACTGGCCTCTAACTGGCCACTAACTGGCCACTAACTGGCCTCTAACTGGCCACTAACTGGCCACATCCGAAATACACAGAATGAGCCCACACTTGAGGCACATGCTGCATTCTACTGATACTGGTACCACAGCTCACCCTCGTCTTCCTCCGAGCGCAAGATGCAGACAGAATCCGTCATCTTCCCCCTCACACCATTTTGATATCTTATCCTTTCCGCCCTCCGACAGAAAAACTTCAAGAAGACTTGGATAGGATTTATGACTGGCCGAGAGCAAACAAGATGAAGTTGGATGCAGAAAAGAGGAAGGCAATCTTAATGGGCTCCAATCACCTTCATGAAAACTGTTCCTACTATTCCAACTCTGTTACTACCCAATAATCCCATCAAATTTTACTATACCATTAAACATCTTGGAATAACCATTGATCAAACGCTTTCTTGAAAAAAACATATATCCTCCCTAAAACGTCTAAATTATTGTCATCACCTATTTCCTTTTGAAACCCGTAGATTCCTAGTCACTTCCTTACTTTTTCCCCACTTTGACTACTGCTGTACAGTATATGGGGGCGTTTCTGGGGATCTTGAGGCGAAACTAAAACGTTTGATAAATTGCTTAGTACGATCCATCTTCGGGATCCCAAGGGATGCCTCTGTTTCCCATTTTTATGAGGAGTTAAAGTGGCTTTATCCTTCCGACCGTAGTAAATATTTCCTGGCATCCTTCTTCTTTCAAGTCATCCAATACCACGGTCCTTCATACATCTCCGAGCTACTTCAATTCAAATCCTCTCTTTGTTCCCGCAATACTCGTTCCCGGTCTTCTGATTTATACATAAGGGCCCGCCGACTCGCATTTTTGACAGATCGTTCATTATGCGATCCTCATCCCTATGGAACTCCATCTCTCCCCACATCCGCCAATCCAATACCCTTCCTACCTTTAAATCCCGCCTGTTCAATTATTTCTTATCCATCAAGTACCCATAAAATTGCAAATAGATACTACTGTAAATATTTATATAAATTATTAGTTCGTTCTTCATTATTTTTACTACAATTTTTTAATATTAACTGATCAAAATTAGAAAGTAACTTATATATATATATATATATATATATATTATATATATATATATATATATATATATATATATATATATAATTTACTTTATATATATATATATATATATATCACTAAGAGTATTCAATTACTCTATATTTTTATTTATGTATCTCTGAGGCTTCTTCTGTTCCGCTCACTTCTGTCATGCTGTATTATTCTAAAGGGATTCGTCAGAGAGAAAATAAAGTATTATTATTATTATTATTAATTATATGTATTTATGTAACTATCCGTAACCGCAATAATTGTAAAATAAATCAGTCTCCTATCAGTTTGTGGTATGGTGTTGTACATTCAGAATATTTTTGTGGTAAAGAAGAACTCAACTTGTACAACTGATTGCTTGCGTTTTGAGATTCGAATTTTTTTTCGAAATATTCTGTATCCGAAATTTTGGTCACAACTTTCCTCAATATGTACACTAAATTGTTAATACTTGTGAGTTATACAGTCCACCACTACACAAATCTTATGCTGGCTAGGACGTACTGGTATATGCAATTGAAAATGAGAAATAATGAATTCGTCTTATTTCTCTGTTCATCATCTTGTAGCTATTTGGAAAAAAAATATTTTGTTCATGTAAATTGCACCAAAAATATGTAAAGATTCTATTATTCCACCGATTAAATTATAATTGCTATTTTTTTTTAGTCCTATAATGGTGTCACTTTAAAAAAAACTTTTTTGTTATTTTTTAGTCTGACAAGGTCACCGTGAATTTTTTTTCCGAACAAAGGTGCGCATTTATTTTTTTGTCCCAACAAAAATAATTCTTTTTTTTAGGCCAAGGTTTGAGAACAGATTTTCAAGAGCATCAATTAAATGAAAGAAAAATACTCGTTCTTAATTCTGCCAAGCCCCAGCAAGCTTATCATTCCTTATCTTCGAACTTTTTTGTGTGTCCAAGAAACTTTTCTGCTTAAAATGAATAAATAAATATTTTACCTCGTTTTTATTTAATTAAATTTTACAGATTATAATACTTTCCTGACCTCTTGAGCGTTTTAAAATCGAAAAACATTTGTAAAAAGTAGACCACTGTGTGTGTCTCTTTGGAGATACTTATAACTAATTTCGATTATTTTGATGTGTGTGTGAGGTTTAGGAAACTAAGAAAATAGTTTAATGATTTAATTTAATGATTATTTCACGAGTGACAATCATTTTTTTTTCAAAGTCAAATTCAACTAATTCAACCTTTTCCATTTCACTTCCAATTTGTTTTAACTTTTTGGAATTTTCTTTATAAGGTTCTACTATTACATTATTGTAGGCTTGCTTTTAAGATATACTATACTTTCACATATCCATTTATTTTATGTTGTCTGATATCACTTTATGTTGATTTTTCGGAAATTTTTGAAATGAGTGTCAAAATTATATTATCGAAGGTGTAATTATTTAAAATACGATCAATTTTAAGACTAGGTAGTCTCATAATTTATGACAAATTTTCGATATAAGGGTCAGTCATTATGTAGTTTTGAAAATGCAATTGATTTTCAGATCAGGTTGATTCTTATAAATTTATTGTTGCTTTTCAATTATTTTTTTTCAATACGGAGGTTTTTGGATCTTTGAAATTTGGTGAGGGCAAAATATTACACATTGATCATAATTTGGGCTGCTTCTGATGTTATGTGGAATGGACTATATGAATTTGACATGTTATAGAGGTCACTGATGATTTTTTTTATTATTTTTTTTTTTTATGCAGATCACTGCTATAATGATTGTATAGAAAGTTTCAAATGAAGGAAATTTTATTGTATATATTAATACTTGGCATACTACATACTACACAATACATGATTTTTGGTTTTGTCACATTTTATCTATTTTTTATTTCCTCTATAATATTTTAACTTTTAATCATTAACTATATCAATTTGAAATTCGTCGATTTAGCTAATTTTGAGAAGGACACAAGTGAATTATTATTCAAAATGAAAACATTGAAGATAAGGGAACATCAGAAAATAAAATGAGCATAAGAGAGAATATTGTACACGTAAATTTGATTTTGATTTTTTAAAGATAATATTCTTTAAAAACTGAAAAGTATAGATATAATATAATGTAGGTAGATTCTAATGCTAAAAGACTTATAAGTTAAAATAGATAAAACAGTATAATCTAATGTATTATGAAATTAAACTGAATCTCTCTTGTATACTGTACTTATTCTCTCAGTTTTTAAAACCTCTTTTGGTTTATTATTTTCCATAATCAACCTTTATCGTCGACCAAGAAAAAGGTGTGGATTTGGGGTTTGACATTTCATGATAAGTAGAATCCTAAAATCGAATAAAAACATTCGTTCTTCCGTCTTCCGCGGTTTTTCTCCGGAATTACTGGACCGATTGTTTTGAGATTCAGTTTCAATGACAAAGAGCACCCGAAAATGATCCTCAAAACTCAGCATTTTCCTCAAACCTCCGCCCTTTTCTTTCAAGATGGTCGCCGAAAAACTTGTGTAGTATTGTAGCGCCTAAGCGAATATATTGATTTCAAAGAAACTTGACTAAAGTCTTTATTTGGAAGCCCTTTCAATTTATCTATGTAACATACTTCACCAAGAAGAAGCTGAAAAAGAGTTACTAAAATTATTTTTGAATAATAGTGGATTAATAATTAACTGAGGTGGATACATTGAAGAAGATTTAGTTGGGGTGTTCAGTCACAAGTAAAAAAGTAAAAACAAATATAATTTATATATTTTTACTTCTCTTCAATTATTTCTGAATGACTCAAAAAGTATGTACATTTTCCTAATGTTCGGGTTATGGTTATTTGCAAATTTACGAAATTTGTAAGAAACAAAAAAATGTTTAAAAAAATGATTTAGTGCAAAGAAATGTACTTCTAATTTTTTTCCATATTTTATACTGCATAGCGTATATCCTCTGTTTTGTTTTTTTATCTTTGAATAGTATTACATCAACTAAAGTAATGCTGTCTGTTTCTCTGAGCAAATTACTAATGATGAAAAAATAATAATTATCTTGGCCAATATTAGGTAGGAATCACCTTTCATTTGTTTTCCCTTTTTTATCAAGTAGTGTTACATATGATATATAATTGAAGAGAAGTTGGTTGAGGTATTCAGTAAAAAAACAAGCAAATTAAAAATAAATAAATGATATTTATTTTTATATATACATATTTTTTTTTTACGGAACAACCCAACCAACTTAAACTTCTCTTCAATGACATATCACCATTCGAAAATAATATAAACCATTGTGTAGTAATTTGCATAATTTTTATTTAATAGAAAAATTTTAATATGGAGATATCGATATAAAAATTACGAATATATAGATTAATAAAATATCGATATTTTATTGTTCCAACATCATTTGTAAAATTAATTTATCTAATACTATATTTTGACTAGTTATCAAAGACAGCTCAAACTCCTCCTCTCTTAAGGTCAATTCCTGTTTCCCCTCTCTTCCTAACCTCGGCCATTAATAACTGATCCAAAGTATATATACCATAGCTTCCCATTTTTCACGAAAAAAATATATAAAATACTTGCAGCATCTTGATATAAATGAATTTAAAGCAAGAAATGTATTTTTTGGCAATTAAAAAGTCTCTTAGATATGTAAAACGGTACTTTTACTATTAATATAACAAGTGTAATGTTCTTTCATTATCACTGCATACACGTATACATATCAATACATACACATCATAAATGCAATACTTTCGCTATAAATAAATAAAACAAATTTTATTCAGAAATACATATGAAAAAAAAATTATATCTTATAGTCTGGAACTGTCGTAAAAATTCTCCAAAGGAACCAAATCAGTCCAGAGAATAGAAAAATTCTGGCGATACGGTCGATAACTTTAATTCTGAAAAAAAAAAAGTTCAACTTAAATATTGAATGAAATGATCTATTTATTATTTAAAATATATTCTTATGTATATTATATTTATATTATTTATTATGTATTATGTATAAGTATAGTCTGTTATGTAGTTTTCATGTTGAGACATTCTATAAAATATTTACTATATTACTCAAACATTTGAAATAATATACCGTCTTAATGATAAATATACCTAATGATGTAGAGATAGTTGACTGCGATATAATATAAGAGGGAGTTGATCGGGGAGGTATGGTGAAATGAATACTAAATTTTTAAAATAGTATTATATATAATATATATGTAATAGTATTTATAAAATAGTAATACTAAATTTTTATAATACTATTTTAAAAATTTAGTATTATTTAACAGCACCTCATGACCAACTCCTCAGAAAAATATATGTAAGGGGCGGGGATAAATGGAAGAGTTAAAAGTTTAACCGGCACTGGGATACGAACGTGTAATTATTTTATTTTTATTATTATTATTTTATCTTCCTATATCGAAATACTGATGTTGTAGGGATAATAAGGATTGGTAGATTAAGATGGGTGGGACACGTTCGCTGGATGCCTGCAGATCATATATCGAGAGAGGAGCGAATTCGCACAAGGTGGGTAGGGAGACCCATAGGCAGATCTACGGGGAGGAGAGGGGCTTTTGCCAAAATGGTAAAATATAATCACGTTTTACAGAAAAATATATTAAAAACTATCTCTTAAAGTATTCTTGTTTATTTAATTACATTTAATTAAACTTCAACTACTTCAAGAACCACTTAATCACCATTTCATATAGCTAATTAATTTCTTTCTTTTTTTTCAAATTAATTATGGTCATATGTATATGAAAAAAAAATCTTTCGGGCTGAAGCCCCCCCCAAAATTATATCCTGGATCCGCTAGTGGGCAGACCAAAACTTAGATGGCCTGATGGAGTGGAAGCAAATGGCGGGGTAATATTTGGAGTCCAAGAAGGTGGCTGCACTTCTTAGAGATTACTGGTGGATGAAGCAGCAGGAAACCCTGACTCAATGACTCTACACTATTTACAGCACCATTTATTGTTTTTTGTTATTTACCAAAACCGCCCATAAACGTAATAATTTATCCATTTGAAAGTTTTCAGACTTTCTATGGCTTTTAGTTTTAACTTGGATTTATTCCAAAAATTTTCAATGCAGATAGGTTCTCACTTGTAAAATGCTTTCCAATTATGAATGAAGAAAACACTATTTTACTTACATACGATATCTTCTCTTTATGTATGTCAAATCCTCTTCCTCGTCTTTTAAATACATTCTGATACCATCAATGGTACCTTTTAAAAACGATTTATAAACAAGCGATTCCATGTCAAAGTCAAAAAACTGTTTGTCTTCATCATTAAGACTTCTCCAAAGACCCATTGTATTTTCTATTGAAAATCTCCAAGTATTTTGGCTGAAGTAATCAAAAAGATCCATACCATGATGGATTTTATTGTACATCTTTAAATACCTAAAATCAAACCAAATTGATATTGTTAATCATATAAACATTAGACATAACTTTCTGCTATAATAATTGTGTTTTCTATTTTTTTTTTATTAATCTTTGGGGATGTTTCTACCATCATGACGTTCCTTTACTCTCACAAGTAAAATATTCCTTGTTGAATATTTTTTACCAAACTAGACAAAATATTGATTATTTGGATAAATAAACTGAAAAAACATTGATATGAAATAAGGAATAGAGAATAGAAAAACTGGTTTAAGATGATTCTGTTGATGAAGGAAACATCCCAGTACATTGAACAAAAAGTTATATAATAATCAATAAGGAAGTTTGAATAGAAAAAGATACATGATTTGACCTTGATCAAACTCAACTATCCGGTTTTCCCTCTTAATTATTTGATTAACAGCATCCATTCTATATATATTGAGCCCTAGAAGGATTTTTTTTTTTAAATTAAAAAACAAAATAATAATGACATAAAAATGGCGCCCAATCAAAGGTATTTAAATTCTTGACTTTCTACAAGTATTAAAATAATACCCGATTGAGATGCGATCAAGTTTTAACAATAATATATTCTAATAGGTAAGAACAAAAATCATTGTAATGAACTGATTTTTGAAGCATTTGAAGAAGCACACTACTAAAATAAACTTTTTTTCTAAGGTATTTATTTAAATATTAATCACACAAAACTATAAGCAGTTTGCACCAATAACTAAGTTTAACATGTTTAATTACCTTGGTTTCTTATGCAGAAAGATAAGCCCAACATCAATTATAACTGCAGGCAATATGTGTAGAAAAAATGCCAGTAAATAATAAATAAAATTATTCCTGACTGCGAATACTGACGAATAATGCCAATATGTCTGAGAATAAGGTGTTTCGATGGACCTCTCTATGGATAAGCGAAATATATCATCCCATGATGCAATGTTCTTTGGATGACTTGTAAAATTAAAGATTGGAATTTCTTGCAATTTTCTACAAAATAATAAATCAAATCAAATTATAATTATAGAATTTTATTGTATTGAGGATAATTACTTCTAATCAAGAAATTATTGGAAGATTCCATAATAAAGCCTTGAAACCTCTTGGAGTGATACCATATCTTTTTTTTAGTCATATTTTAAACTGCTGATGTGAGAAATATTTTCTCAAGTCTGTATTTATGTAATCTCATATTTTTCTGTCCTGGTGATTCCCTAATAGGTAAATTGTCTAATATGTAAATTATGTATCATAGGCCACATACTTCAGGTGGGGGAGACAATAAATTTATAAAATATATAAATTAAAAATATATATATAATTTAAATTACTAATAATCTAAAATAATGAATAAAATATGTAAACTAAAATGGATTAGGAAAAGTTAACAAGACTGAGGGCGAGAAGTAGGTGACAAAGTATTTTATCATGACCTAAATATTCCTATTATTTAATAATTCATTAATATTTAAAGATTATGATATATTGCAAACAGCTGCTGGAAACGTTCTTTACAGATGCTTAGTACCTATATTAACTTTTGATGTTTACCATATGTTTCTCTCAATTGCATGTTCTCGTTTTATACTATACTCTTCATTCTGAATTTAGTTAGCAATATTAACCTGACAAATTGTTTGATTTTCTTTTTCCTAGCAGCTGTTACATGTCCACAGTTGCTTGTTCAGTTTGACTAGATAGGTATTAGGAAGAATTGGCAACACAAAGGCCAACAGACATGGAGGAACCAGAGGAGCAATAAGTATGAGGAGCTGGAGGATAAGAAATCATAAATATTTTTAAGTTTTTAAAATTATTCATTTTTAGCTGAAAAGGTTCTAGAAATGCACCTATGTTATGGAAGCTACACCTTTTCCCGCTGTCGGTATATACAAATAATTAATACATGCAATTGTTCACATATTTTCAAATTTAAACAGTGAGATATATCAAAGATCAAGGATGACTGCTAAGCTATCCTCATAGCCTTAAGATGATTATCTGGTAGGCAAGTCCAGAGCACTGCGACTCTCATGCAGCCATCTTCCCTGTTGCAAGCATGAATGAGTTTCTATCGGCTTCTGTATTAGTGTGCAAATCCATTCTTTATCACCTGATACATCGAGGCACCAATGTGGTCCTACAGTGGATTCTGAGCCATTGTATAATTCAAGAAAACGAAGAGGCTGATAGTCTCGCTAAGTGAGGAGCAGTATTGCCTCAACCAGTCATCACATAGATTGGGTGGAAGGGAAACGTAACAAGTTTTGATTTCATTGATAGAAAATTCGATCCCAGCTGACCTACCAAGAAGAAATGCAGGTCTTTTCACCATACAACTGGCCACGACTATCTGCAGAGCTTCTCCACAAGATAGGCCTGGCGGAGGATCATAGATGTGTGCTACGTAACTGAAGGAGAATGGATGAACATAAGAAATAAGATTTTTGTAAATATTATGTGGAAAATATAATTTATATATGGCAGAAAGGTGTCAGATGGTCGAATGACATAGGAGAAAAATATTCAAACATATTCACACACATAAAAAAAATACCATAAAAACTATATGTATATAAATTTATTTTTACATTATTATACTCTTCACAATATTTCTCACTTCTTCTTCGGTGCATACTATTTATTTTCAAGTTAATATATTATTAGCCATATTTACACCAATTTTTAAAAATTTTTGTCAACTTAATGACTACTCATCACAATGACGACGTTTCGGCTCGTCGAGCCATTTTCAAGTCTAAAAATAATTTTCATTTACAATCATATATTAACTTTAACATATTTCAAATTATAAAGATTCTTATTATGTACCTAAAATACCCATCATGTACCTGTCCTTTTCACTTATGCGAATTGCAAGCGCCTACTCATAATAAAATTCCTTATTATTGTCATGTTCACCTTTAATTATTTTACAACGTTATTATTTCTCCAATTCTTTCCTATTAAATGATTCAAAATTTTTTTTAGACTTGAAAAAGGCTCGACGAGCCGAAACATTGTGATGAGTAGTCATTAAGTTGACAAAAATTTTTAAAAATTGGTGTAAATATAGCTAATAATAAATTAACTTGAAAATTATTATACTCTTTGTTTTATAAAATTATCATTTTTACACATAATATAAACCTCTGGCACTTTTTTTTTAGTCCATCACGGCTCTTCTAATTGAAATCGAAAATCTGCGGCAATCAATTGCATACCATTTATTTATTTATTGCTATTTGAGAGGCTTATGTTAATTGATCGGAATTTTCCAATAATATCTTAACAATAACTCTGATATGAATTTCTTCTCTTATTTTTAAATTGTTATTATTATTTTAAAAGTGAATAGGAAGAATCCTCGAGGTCCTACTAAGGTTACTAATACAAGCTATAACAATTAAATATCTATTTATAATATTGTAAAGAGAAAACATTTTTTTAAATATAGATATCTATTAGTTTATTCTACACTATTAATACCTCAATTTAGCTGTTTGGTGACCAACTGCAAGAAGGCAATTCACAGTCATGTCTGCTGGTATCAAATCTGCTCTAACATTATTGCCAAACTTGACGACACGGGTTGCTCCAACATAATATCCAGCTAATACTCCTATTGGTCCATAAGTCTGATCTATCCAATTAGGAATGGGTTCACTTCTTGCTGTAAAAACTATTGATAGACAATTTTAAATTAATAATACAATTATAATCAAGTAGGTTTATAATTAATTAATGGGAACCAAAATAATAAAGTAATATAAAAATGCTTGATAGGCATGAGAAAAATCATTACCCAACAGTTCCCCTTTCATGACTTTATTTACTAAAACATTATGTTAGTAGATCCCTCAACCACTTGACCATTTCTTTTATTAGCTGGTTAAAGTGTCCATTTAACTTAACATGAAATCATTTGTAATAAATTCATATTTGTTCATTGTCCGTCGGCCTGTGTAAAATGTTGTTATTAACATAATATGATACTTGGGTAATTATTCATAGTATCAAAGACTCAAAAGTCTTTTCATGTGTTGGTTTTTAAATTCCGTTTATTTGTAGTCCATAAGTCCAGATAGGTTTTAAAAGGTTTGTGTTAAATACATAGTTTCTGTCTTACATTTAATTTGGAATGCCGTCTTAATATTCAGTGCAACAGTTTTAATCTATGATTTAATGATGCACTTTTTTTTTTAAATATGAGGGTCCCATATCGTTCTTCTATTGAACATTGGTCCTAAGTATTGTTGTCTGTCAGTTTGTGGGATCGGCGTGCCGTGGAATAAACATGATGTGTTGTGACTTTTGGTAATTTATTAGAGTTTTCCAAAGTTTACACCAATATTTTTTGTAAGTGGTGTAAGTATATTAATTTCTGTTTTGAAATTCGACAATTCAGTTAATAAATATTTCCATATAGATTTTTTTATAGTTGATGTGTTTTATAATCTTCCAGGAGTGGTAATATTCAGCTGGAATCTAGGATATTTTTCCTAAACTCAACTATAATCGATTAATGGATTCCTTCGATGATATTCGCGCTTATTTAAAAACTTGATACTTATTTAAAAATAAACTGAAGTGTAACACCTAATACTCACTGATTGCAGGCCTCATGATGGATATAGGTAGTCCTAGACCATTTTTCCTAACAGCTTCCTCAGCAACTGCTTTCGTAAATACATACGTGTTAATCCATTCTCCAATGATACTGTAAACAAAAGATTTTCTTTAAATCTTGAAATTCTATATGGTAAAATTAATACTATGAATGTACGTTGGGATTAAAGCTAAAAAAAATTCTATAGATGTTACTATCTTTAAAAATTCAGAACTTTGGGACTAATTGCTTTAACAACCTTCAGCTGTTAATTTTTCTTACTTAGGAATTAAAGAAGAGCTCAAAAGGATTCTAGAATCATTACATATTAAATTATTCAAATAATTAGACACAAAAAAAATCTGAACATAAACAAATGATTTAATTTAAAATTAATTTAAAATGGTGTTCCTCAAGGGAGCATCCTTTATACACCACCTTTGCAGATTGCACTTCTATCCTATCTGTTAATAATGAACCTTTAATTGCATTCCAAACCCTCCAATCACACATCACAAACCTTGAAGAATAGTGTAATAATTGGAGAATTAAAATAAATTCTAATAAATCCCATCAAATCACCTTTACTCTTCATCGTAAACATACAACTTCTTGTCAATATCCTTCAATGATATTCCACTTGTTCCTGTTGAACAAATCGGCTACCTAGGACTCCACTTGGATAAATGTCTCACTCACAGAATCTGCATACTAGAATGAAACGACAAGAAACTGATCGACATTTCCAACTGCTCCAACACTAACTAGATAAATGCTCTAAACTTTCAATTAATTACAAAAGACTAATCTACTTAACCATTATAAGACATATATAGATATACGGAGTTGAGCTTTGGGACTCTACCAAACAATCGATTCCTATCCTATCCAATCATTACAATCCAAAATCCTTAATGCCCCATATTTTGTCACAAATAAAACCATTCATAAAGACCTTAATGTTCCATATGCCGCTGATTTAGCCCAAGCCAGATAATCTATCCTTTCATGATAAACTCCAGTCCCATCCGAATCTACTTGTTTCCAGCCTTGCTTCTTCCTCAATTCCTGATAATCCCCCTAGGCGTCTGAAAAGAAGATGGCCTCATGATCTTGTTACCTAGAATTAAATAGGGAGTGGTAGCAATGGGCAGTATCTCTTCAAGTCTGTTCATGTCATTATATGTAATGTGTGTATTTTTACTGGTTTTAATTTTTATGCAGTTGCAAATTTCATTAAATAAATAATTTAAAAAATATTAAAATACAGGACTGTCTTGATAATGCAAACACGTAGATTTCAAATGATGGAAAAATTGGGCAAGGTAACTAAGATATATATTATCAATTAAATATTAGCACATTGCACAAAATGGGAGCAAAAACATTTTCCAGTGAAGCAAAAAAAACGTATCCCATACTTTCTTTTCAAAGTATTAAGCCAAGCACACTGGCATTAAAATCTGCTTTGTTATCCTTCTTAAAAAAAAAATATTAAAGTAAAACTCTTTAGCTAATATATTTCCAGAAATTGGACACCCCCATCTCTACTGCTAATCTCTGCTGCAAAAACCACATATGAAGTTATTCCTCAACTTCTTGACCGGGATGATGTCTATTTTTAATGTTTTCCATTTAGATAAACTGCAACAATACCTCGACACAACCACACGAAGCAATTATAGCAATATTTAATAGGAGACAAAGCCATTTCCATTCCATCTCTTCTCAGTCTTTAACTTGTTTTCATTATTCTACTTTCACTTTTTTCTTTGGATTACTAGGGGTTTGGACTATCGACATCGTCCTGTATTATACAGGGTGCCTTAATTTCATAACGGTAACACTCTAAGGAGTGAATTCAGTCTTGAATCACCTACAAGTTTGGCTATTGAGAAGTGAGACACCCTATATAAATGAGCTAAAGTTAGACAAAACTAGAAAAACATTTGATTGTGATAAAATATTTGATACAAATTGGACTTATATGGATTTTATTTATTTAGAGTTTTCTTACTGTGGTGTTATCGCATTCAATAGTTGAGGGCTTAAATTATCAGCTAAATCAATGAGGCCTTGAGGAGAAATCGGTGACTCGTAGAATTCCTCCCTGATCTCTTTCCTGGGACTGTGACTGTAAGCTGTAGAAACATGAACCACAGACTGGAAATATAAAAAATAAATTATGGAGTTATATTTAACATTTAATATCTAATATTTAACCATAGATGAAATCAAATATAGAAATGTCTCATGTCTTTCCTATGATCGAGAGAGAAGAAGTTCATATTATTTATTAAACATGTTTTTTTTTCTGTACACCATATCTTCATTAATTATTCATCAAATCCCAAGATTTTATTTTTTATTGAAAATATTACTATCTATCTCAAAGGAAATTTATAATAGTGTTCAGAGATCACATTCACACTCTATGTACAATGACAATAATATAGAGTAGACAATAAATGACAAAACAACCCAAAAAAATAAATAAATAAAACATAACACATCCATACATATATACACTATTTATAATCAGGTAAAAGAACTCCGAGCCAAACTTGTCCCTCCTACTGTGGAGGGAAAAGCATGACTCCAGGAGATCCCTGTACTTCTCTCTTAACCACGACACTGGGGTTAAACCCAGTGGAGATTCCCAAAATCAAGCCATCATTTTGAAGGTTTCCTCTACCTTCAGGTGAGAAAAATAGTCACACCATCCTGAAATATCTGGGGGAAAAGTTATGAAGGGAAAAAAACTTTATCTGCGTAAAACTCAAAAAGTGTATTTTTTTATTACACCAATTATTTAAAAATATTACTATAATAATATTTAAGTTCCCTACAGAAAAAATAAAATAAAAATCAGACAATCATTAGCAAAGATACAACTTATTGAAATTCATTAACATGGTTCAAAACATGACTTTTTTTTTGCTGACTCTAGTTTTATATATAGTTTTGTTTCTTATATATATACTGTAAGGTGTTCCTTGTGCTGTATGTTACATATATTTTAAGGTCTTCCTGAGCCTTCCTTAGTTCTGTTAATATTTATTTATTGACTTATAATCGGGTGATGTGGCTCACCTCTTTCTTGATAAATTTCTTCTAAGATTAACTTAAAATATACCTTCCATCTATATTTTGCCATATTAGCATCTATAATATGCTATCAGCTAAAAGGAGCCTGCGAAAATATTATTGTATTTGATTCATTGTTGGTTAAATATTTTAAAAAATCATGTAATTTTATTCTTCTTCTGTTTATAAATTCAGTTATGTTGGGAAAATTTAATAAGGCATGTAATTTATCAGATTTTTGTTTTTCAAATAATGTGTTTTTAGCTATTCTTTTTAAAATTTCATTGTGGAATTGCTGTCTCTTGCTTGTATTTTCTGAAATGTGGGACAGTAGCAGAGCACCATAGAGAGAAGGGCGAAGAATGTTTTTGTAGATGAGTAATTTTATCCTGAGGATGAGTTGATGTTCTGAGGAGGTGACTGAATTTGTCATACTTTTGATAATTTTGAAGTGCAATGGAATTAAATTTTAGATATCTGTCAAATTTAATTCCAAGATAGACCAAATTATTCGATATTTGAATCGCCAACTCGAAATTTTTTAGGTAATTTTTCGTATATAGTATTTTTTTTAAATTTACTTAAAACATAATGAAAATTTAAATTAATTTTGATTTTTTTTGTCGATTATAATCAGCGAGAAAATAAGAACCGATTTTTCCATCTATAGACCGCTAAAACTAAAACTAAACCTAAACTAACGCCTAAAACTTCGTAAAAAGTTTCATCTCATTGTAACCTACAACTATTTTATTTAAGAAAACTCTTGGAATTGGGGCGTTTTCAATCTGGAGGGGGACAAACTTTGTCTAGTTAATTAGGTACTAAAAACTCGTAAATACCCATTTGTTTTCTACATGAATCGTAAGATAATTTGATCACAAAATCAATAAAAAAAAGGTGGCCTACAAAAATATTGGACCGTTTGTTCTATATAAACTCGTTATTTAGCCAATTTGAGGGTGTATGTATTATATATTGTTGTGTATTTCCAATGACTTCAATTCTTAATTAACTTCCCTACAACAATATCCTCCAACAGTCATCAATTATCCAGAATAATTGTACATTTCCGAGCATTTTCGCAAATAAAAATGTTTTCAGGTAATGATTTTATGAAGCCATTCACGAAGTTTTTGACGGATGTTAATAATTTGTTAAAAAGAAGCCTGCACCATTGATATTAAAGACATGTTAGTCCATGGTACAGACCCCTTTTTATCAAATTATTAACATCCGCCTGAAACTTCGCAAGTAGCTTCAACTCATCGCAATCTACAAATATATTATTTACGAAAATTATCGAAATTGACGCTTTTATAATCTGGAGGTCGGCAAACTTTGTCTATTTAATTAGATATTAAAAACTTGTAATTATCCATTTGCTTTCCACTTCGATCATAAGATAATTTCATCACGAAACCGAAAAAAAAAGTGGCCTACACAAATCTTGGACTATTTAGCATATAAAACTTCGTTGTTTTGACATATTGGGGGTGTACTTCATACGAAACGGTTCGATATTTTTGAAGGCCACCTTTTTTCTCGATCTCGTGATCAAATTATCTTACGATTCAGGTGGAAAGCTAATGGGTATTTACGAGTTTTTAGTACCTAATTAAATATACAAAGTTTGCCCCTCTTCAGAATGAAAACGTCCCAATTCTGAGAATTTTCGTGAATTATATATTTCTAGGTTACAATGAGATGAAGTTATTTACGAAGTTTTAGGGGGATGTTAATAATTTGATAAAAAGGAGTCTGTACCATGAAACATACGTTGTTACTAATACTGTAATTAATAAGTTTATTTACTTATTAAATGGTGATTTCATCATTGAGCAATATTCTATGCCAATTATTTGCACTTGAACATTTTGTAATTGTATCAACCGATAGTTATTTTGTCAACTCATTTTATTTACTATCTATTACATCCAGTAAAATATCATGATATTCATTCAGTTATATTAAGAGACATATTTAGCAATAAGCATGGTTGACATGGATAACAAACATAAACACAATACCTCTAAGTTCTTCATCTTCTTGCACAGTTCAATGATCCCCATAGTTCCTCGAACATTTATCTTCGTAGCAGTAGACAAAGTTTCGTCGAACTTGACTGTGGCAGCAGAGTGGAATACAACCTGGACTTTCTCGATCAAGTGCTCAACATCCGCCGGAGATAATCCAAGTCCAGGCTCGGACACATCACCGGGAACGATCTTCAATCGCTCCATGAAGACTGGATCTTCTTTTTTCAGGCGGTGGAATAACTAAAATCAAAATTAAAATTGGTAAATGTAGAAATAGAAAAATTGTTTAATATTCTAAAATGAGGTTTATATTCTCAATCTTTTTTGGTTCTTTTAGAAAAATAATTAATTTAGTTTATCATCGATCAAGAACTTTATTCAATTTTAATTACTACTAGTATAACACCTTCAGAACTCTCACATAAGATAACCATTCTTCTCCCTAATGCATTCGGAACATAAACGACTTAGAGAGCATTAGCAACAACCTTTGTACATATGTATTATTTTTTTCGATCAATGCTTTATTAAATACTAGCTTTACCCGGCCACGCGCTGCTGTGGCTTAGCCTGGCAAAATGAAAAAGACAGAAAATAGAAAGCACATATGAGTAGATTAGTAGCAAAGGATATCTGTCATTTTTAAAAAGTTGGGAAACAAATTTTTCTATTAAATGGCTTCAATTTAAACTAATTCTAATGATTTTTTTTCTCAAGATTTAAATTGGACATTCATAATCATCTGAGTGAATAGGCCGTCATTCATAATCATCAGAAATAGCCATAGTTGTACTTATAAAACTAAATTAAAAAAACGTATAATAGTATTGACCTACATAAGGAGAATCATATAACTTCTTCAAATGATAATTTCAATTACTGTAGTAATTATAAAATTTTCGATTAATCAATAATAAAAAAATGCCTGCCTACCTTCGGTAGTGAGGAAGCAAGAGGAAACGGTCTTTTCTGAAGAGAATACAGTAAATGTTTAAAACTCTATAACCGTGCAACGAACCGTCCGATTTCGATGATTTTTTTTTTTATTTTGTCAGCAATCTTTCAAATAAATATGGGCATTATCAGTAAAAAATTGTGTACTTTTTTAGTTATCGTCAAATAAAATATTGAATTCATCATAACATATTTCAGCTTGTTTTCGAGAAAGTATGTTATACACATAAATTCAAAGGGTTTCAAGGGGAAGACTTTAGCAAAGTTTCGTTAAAATCGGTAAATTGGCGTTACAGTTTATAGCGACACATTTTTTTGCAGCTTTGAACAGAAAAACATTTACATTTTTTATTTTTTTTACATATATAAAATTATCGTAAGACAGAAGTACTGTGCCAGAAAACTTAACAGGAGTGTACGGAATAACTTCCCAAAGTTTCATGGCGATCGGTTGAATGGTTTACTAATGCACTAAGGACAAACAGATGGACAGACAGACATACATTCATTTTTATATATAGAAGATGTATAAATTATAAATTTCAAAAAATACACATTTATACGGCATGATTATTCGTCTGCCGGAAATTTTATATGTTTTGCGGGTACAGCACAAATAATGACTTTATAACAATTACATATACATGAATAATTGATAAATAACAAAACAACTAATACAATATAAATAATAAAATAATAAATAATAATATAATAATAATAATAGCTATACTGGGACATACATCTCAAGCTATACTGGGATGAATCGATTATAACTGACCATACTGTGCGTCACAATAAACCAGACATCCTTCTGATAGACATGAGAGAGAAAAGAGCAGAGCTTATTGAAATAATAAATGTTTTATGTGTAAAAAATAATAATAAAGGAAAATAAGGGTAATCATAAACAATAACATGAATAAAACTGACCACAAATAAATTAGACGGATCATTCATTGTTTATGCTGGACGCAGCAAATTAAAACGGTGTATCCACGCATGCCGAGCTAAACCGAAAATTTTACAACATTCGTTCACAGAGGGGGCATTTAGAAGAGAAATTAGGATATTATTTTGAACCGGGCTAGTTCCAAGAAATTCGATACGAATTTGATCAAGCATTGAACATTTAGCCAAAAAATAGAACATGTCTTCCTTTACTGGTAGGTTACAGAGTGGACAATCCGTATATTCTCTGTCAAGCCACGGGATGTAATTCAAATAAAGGAGTTCACACCTGAGCTTGAACAACCAACTCAATGGGTTAGTTTGTTCTTTACCTGCATTTTAAAGACTCGAGGATGTGTGGAAGATTTTTTTTTTATCTCTGAGAGAAAAATTGGAAATATCTGATGCCTTTCATGTTCGAAATGGCGTACGGCATTGAAATGGACTCTCACTACTGTACCAGTGTAGACGATGAGAACGTCATGAATAAAAAATGGAAGATTTCACGGAATGAGTCATAAAATCCATGGATATTCAGATGATATAACTTTCCTATTGGAAGCAACCAAAAGGACATTGAAGAAATCGCTAAGACTCTGATCAGAGAAGCAGAGTGAATCGGCCTACAAGTAAATGAAGATCAGAAAAACAATATAATAATAAGCCGGAAATCAGGGCGTAGAAGGGAAATCGTCCACGAGAGTGGACAAATTCAAATACGTCGACCCCACAACCATTTCGATGAATGAACAACGGGCGTAAAAAGACTAATGTTTAACAAGCATAGAGTTTTTTTTTTTTTTTTTACCTTTCAAAGATATTCCCGAAAAATCTCAAGAAATTTCAAATTAAGGATGTAGAAAGCTATGATAAAGCCAGTTTTGATATATGATTGCGAGCCTGGTCACCAATCAGCACTATAGAAAGAAGTATTGAAAGATTTGAGAGAAAAATCTAAAGATAATCGAAGGAATCTAGGATCAGAATATTAAAGCATGGAGAAGAATTAATAATAAAGATGTGCTTGCAGAAACAGGTCAATCAATAGCTCATGATATGAAGGCAAGGAGATTAAGATAAAAGAGGCATACACCTTTGAGCAATCCATCTGAAAACCTCTACACGACAATGAATTCCTCAATAGAATGTAAAAGACCATGTGGAAGGCAAAAAAGTCGATGGATAGATAGAACCAACGGTACTTCTTGACTAGCAGGCAGGCACAAAACCTCACTTCTTATCTATCTTATCTAACGTTACGTCACATAACCTCCCTCTTCTTATTCTCTCTTATCTTCTTATCAGTGTTCAGGTTATAAACATTGGCAGATAGCAGTCAGTGCCGGCCTGCTAGTCAAGAAGTACCGAACCAACAAAGGTGCAATAGAGTTACATGCAGATAACTGGAAAGCAATAGCCCAAAATAGGTAGAGATAGAGTAAGCTTGATAATTGGGCAAAAAATCTACTAGATCTGCAATGCAAAAGAAAAAAAAAAGAATAATTAGAGATCTAAATAATCAATCAGTAGAGATTTATTTTCGAATGCTATACATAAACATTCATGTTAACAATGCTATGCGTTTTTTAAAGAGTGTTTAACATTATTAAATTCGCAATAATTCAAATCTTAATTAATTAATCCTCGTTTTTTCTTATGAATATATTAATCACAAATGAACTCATGAAATATTCCATTAGATAATTTAAATTATTTATTCATTCGCGAAGATCATTATTGTTTAAATTTGTATTGCTGCATCATTTCATGGGAATTGAACTTTGATAAATTTACAAATAAATGAATAATTACTTTATAGTAATCCATGTGAAGCATTACCCGAAACGTTTTAACGAAACAACATTTTTTTTTTACTTTGTTGACCTGAGCGTTTTGCGCTATTAAGCCAAAACAAAAAAACTATTTTATATGCAGATTAAAATGTTAATCAGTCGAGTAATTATTATACGAGGATAAAATTAACTAACGTACTGAGGCAGGACCAAAAGAACAAACGTAGCAAGTGTAATAATTAACATTTCAACTAATTAACATTTCCGGTTAGGGGTCGAGAAGAATTCAGTTGCGAGGATTAATTTGTCAAATAAACATATTTATCTATTTTTATTGTTATGCTTATTGTTCCTAATGTTTAATTGAATAATTAGCCAATTAAATATAAAATCATATGAAACCCTGGGTGCACATCCCCCACATGCTCGATAGCTCATGAACCCTCACCAAGATATTTGATTGCCTTAATGTTCTGAAATTCTCTCAAAACGAATTTTTTTTTTGTTTAACTATTTATTCAAGATATTTACAACTGTATTACAATATAAATACATCAAGTAAATGTGTACACAAGAATATTATCGCTTGAAAACGCATGTTGAGAAACTACCCACAGGTAGCGCTCTAATAATATGTCTACATAAGGAGATCACGAGGCCATCTTCTTTTCAGACGTCTCGGAGGGTTATCAGGAATCGAAGAGGAAGCAAGATTAGAAACAAAAATTAATAGAAAGTTTAGATCGTTTGTCTAGTAAGTGTTGGAGTAATCGGGAACGTCGAGCAGTTTCTTGTCGTTTCAGTTTTGTATGAGGATTCCAAGTGAGACTTTTGTCCAGGTGGAGTCCAAGATATCGTATTTGTTCAACAGGGATAAGTGGGGTGTTATTAAAGGATACTGTAGGACAGGAAGTCATAGGTTTACGACGAAGCGAAAATTAAATTATAAAAATTGTAGCTCATGTAACTTCCATATTTTCTGCCTTTTTTATGTTTTTTCCTTGTACTTTTTTTAATGTTCCTTCGAATCGAAAGCTCACAAAAATATGGTTCATTCCAAAATTCGCAACACCATTAAAATTTTCTAACCTCAAAATTAAACATCAGATAAAAACGTGGTTCCCTTAAGAAGTTAAGAAGTCCAAACCACGGCACTCACTTTTGTGCGCATCTGGTGTTTTCAATTCTTTATAAGTGGGAAATAACAACATTGAAGTTATGATAAGGTCCGATAAATAGGCGATGGAATCGATGAACCATCGATGATTTACTCAACACAGAAAGAGACGGCCCGGTATCTAGCGATGCGTTTTAATACGATTGTAGGTTTATTCTTAAAACAAATAAATAAATATTTTTCGTTTATGTCAAAAAATAATATTTACCGAACTCTCAGTAAGATCTTTAAGCCTACGATGAGGATCCTTGAACTTCTTGGTACGAATGATGAGATATATCATCGCTGGTTTGCAGACCCTCAACAATTTCTCAATTACCAATTTGCCCAACATGCCAGTCCCTCCGGTCAGTAGTACGTGCTTGCCTCTGTAGAATTCGCATATTTCTGATGTATCTTTATGTGACTCCATAACAATCTGGAAAAAAAAAATGTAAATTTAATATCATTCATAAAAAAAGTTAGAATCACATTGGATGTCAGGTACAAAGCATACATGGCCCAATCAAATTAGCACGAAAAAACGATGTCCAGCTTGCAAAATGTGGGGTAATTGAAATTTATTTTTTATATTGTTAGGTTTGCAATGAATATAAAAAATCCAAGTTTCCGCCCTTGAAAGCCTAGTGGGTTCACTGCAGTGCTCCAAAAACCATTGACATTTCGAAATTTTTTAGTTTACTCTAAATATCTATTTTTTAAAGTAGCATAGATAAAAAATGATTATGTTCAATCGTAACAACTTAAAATTATCTAACATTTTTCGATTTTATTATTTATTTGTTTATTGATAAATATTACAATCTGTCTCAATAAAGGACATTTATAATAGAGTTTGAGAGCACATTCACACCATATTTACAAATTTAAAAAAATAAAAAAAATAAGCTAGCTTCAAATAATATAAAGGTACAAAAGAACAAAATAAAATATCATAGTGAAGGAAGAAAATATAAATAATAGTAATAATAGAATGAAAATAAATGAATAAAATAGAATTAAAATTATCTTTAAAAAAAAAAGTAATGAAAATAAACATCTTAGATGCAGGCATACCTATTTACACTATTTATTTTTTATTTTTTTTTTGTAAATAACATTTTTTTTATAAACACAACAGGAAGCGAACTATCGAGCTTTAAAAATGGGTTTAAAAAAAATTGACAATACAATTATTTTATTAATATTTGTTCTTTAATGCAATAAAATATTAATAAAATGATTATAGCACTATAATTATGACATTTATAGTAATTAATGATATGGCAGAAGACTCTCGACACCTATGCCAGTACAGCTTTTCCCGCCGATTAAGTACATTTTCTAAGTAACTGCTTCAAATATTAAAAAAATTAATCAGTGTTTTAGAAAGAAAAGTGTATTCACCAGATGTTTTATTTCAGAGCATTTTCCGTTATTGTTGGCCGTTTATTTACAAAAGACGCATGATATTCAAACTTAGTTTGAACGAATTGAAAATTTTTCCTTTACTAATGTTTTTGATTACCAAGGCAATTAATTTTTTAATATTTTTTTCATTTTGTATTATTTTCTAACTATCCAGCTTTAATAAAAGCCAATTATCAGTGATCGAAAAATTAACTCAAGTAAAAGACCTCAATCTACCACGCTTCAACACCATTTTGGGTCAGTGCGGCCACCTTTTTTATGGGAACATTGTTTTGTTTTTTTTAATAAATAGTTACAAATAAAACGTTAGGAGGTCTGGCCCTCCGTGTATTATACTTCTCAAAACACCTCCCGACTATCGCTTATCATTTCAGTCAATGGCTCATTATCTTCAAGAAAAACTTCCGAGTTCCCTGGACCAGCTTCAAAATGGAGTTCCAGAAGTCATCCGTTCAAAATTTAAATATGACTATTGTGAAGAACTCGAAAAGAGTACATTTTGAAAGCTCGATAGTTAGTTTCCTGTTGGGTTTAGAAAAAAAGATTATGGACAAAGTTTTTATGTAATTTTAAGTTGTTTAAGATTGAATATAACCATTTTTTATCTATGTTGCTCTAAAAACGAGATACTTAGCGTAAACCAAAAACTGCAGTGAACCCACAAGGCTTTCAAAGGCGAAAACTGGGATTTTTTATATCCACTACATATCTAACAATATAAAAAAGAAATTTGAATTACCCTACCTTTGCTAGGCAACATCTCTAATTTGACTGGGCTTTACATTGCTGCTATGTATACTTTCCTAATGTGAGCATATATTGAGTTGGCAAATAACTCATTTCTGTTTTTCTGTTTATTTTTATGTCACTATGATACACTTCTTATCTCATGAATTAATCCCTGAGCTGGATTGTTTATCCTGTTTGCAATGTGTCAACAGCTATATCTGTTAACTCTTGTTGAAACTAGCTTAGTATTGTGTTTGCTATTGCACTGTGAATATGGAAGAAAATATCATTCATTATCGGCATATTTTGTTATATTATTTTTAAAAAGGTAAACGTGCAGCAAAAGCTCATAGGAAAATTTGCAGTGTTAATGGGGATAATGCCTTAACCGAGCGCACCTGTAATAATTGGTTTACCAAATTTCATACAGAAAATGTTGACATCAATGATGCTCAACGGTCTGGTCGCCCACATGAAATTGAAACGAGCAATGTTAAGGCCATTGTTGATCAAGTTGATTCCTATCGCCCTAAATGTGTCGCACGCAAGCGTAAAAAACATTTGTACAATCTCGGCTATGTTTCCAGACATAATTTTTGGGTCCCTCCCATGATATTTTTTTCGAAAATCACAAACAATGTTATAAATTTAATACGACTTTAGTTATCTACAAGAAATTTACCAGGAATTTAGGGCCACATAATCTACACAAAATGATATCAACAAGACCTTCGTAAACAAACTACAAATGAATATAAAAAATAAAAACCTAGAAGGAGTTTTTGTTTATTTATTCTCTATGTAGGCATTAAATCAAAACACCCTTCATACGCCTTTGAAGAACAATAATTCAGCTTTCCAACGGATATAGTAACATCGAATCATATTAAAGAGTCATGAATGATCGGAATTAAATGTTCGGAAGTAAATTATTGAACCTTGGATTGGACTTTTTGTCCCATCCACCCTATTCACCATACTTATTGACTACCACTTTTTCCGGCCTCTGCAGAACTCCATGAATGGAAAGAAATTACAAAAGTAAAAAGACATCGAAAACCACTTGGATCAGTGTTTGAACAATAAACTCCAGACATTCTATGAATATGACATTATGCAGTTAGTGGAAAGATGAGAAAAAGTCATATTAAATAATGGTCTATAAATTGTAGATTAAAATAAATTTTATATCTATAATGCTTAGAGTTTTATTTCACCCTGAAAAACCGAGAGAACTTTCCAACCCAATATAATCATCATAGATAAGTCATTTTGAAAAAAAAAAAAATCCAATCATTTTTCCTCTTAGATTAAGGGCTCTATTAATTCTTATAATAATTTAATTTTATTTATTGTTGGTAAATAATTGCATTTTTTTAGTTTCATTATAATTGATTAATTTTTTAGCGCTTTGCAGTAAATGAATAAGGAATAGACGGGCGTCAAGAAACAGAACAGACAGCGTTGCTAGGCATCAGATCAACGATTGTTTATAACCTTACCTCCCATACTTGAGCATTTTATATTGAGTGTCAAGCTTGAGAGTGAGGATTTAATTCCTTTTAATGGAAATAAAAGCATACTTATCTTTTGAAATGAGATTAAATTAAAATGATCTAAAATAAATTACTATAAAATTTCACACAGTGTACGAAGTTTGATTACAATTAACTCTAACTTACTTAAAGTAATAGAGGGATCGAAAAGTAATCTCGTTTTGTTACATTGAATTCAAACAAATGAATTTCACACGAGTTGTTATTTTTAATTACTAATGTAATCACATTCATTATGAACAACCTTTTGCGATCTAATGTGCAAATTGATTTAAATGATCCAATTGTTCACAATGAAGGTCTGTATTTACAGTTTGTCCAGCTTCCAGCACTTCAAAATGGAAGCCAGGAATACTCCAGCAAACACACAAAAGGAACTTTTTGGAGAATAAATCTGGCTTAGCAGAACTTCTTGGCGATTCTTTTGGAGAGAGCCACTGCCTTTTGCGTTTTGGATGATCATACAGGACCCATTTTTCATCTCCGACGATCAAGCGATCAAAAAACGCTTCTGTATTGTGCCGTTGAAACGTTGCATATAGTGGTTTCCCAATCTGCTGGAAATGTTCTTGGATGGCTGTCCTAGGTTGTTTAAGACTGTTTGACAATTTCTCGATTGTCTGACACGGATTTGCTTCGACTTTAACACCGTCATTGTCTATAGATCTTCCTGATCGATACGAGTTGAAAAGATCAAAATTACTGGATTTGAAAAACCATCTTTGGCATTGACGAACGTCTTAAGAACCTTAACTTACTCATCCTAAACTGCTCCATGAGTTGTCGCTATCTTGAAATCAAGATCAAGACAGAAAATCTTGAATCTGTGTAAAAGATAGTCTCAAATTTAGCCTAAAACGAATCAGTAATGGTGCTTAGGCTATCTCACCATTAAGATCGAAATCACAATGAGGTTTGATAGTCGTGTTTGATCCCAGCTTAACCTCAAATACTTAATGTCCTTAAAAGCCCTTATAAATTTGTGAGATTCTCAACCACTGGTTATAAATTTAATTTATGTTGTGCGATTCGATAGATTTTAAATACATAGAACTTTAGACAAAAAGGTTTTTGATTACTTTTTTTGTTAGTAAGCAGTTCCAATTATTTAGTTGTTGTCAATAAATGTGGTATTTAGATAAATATAACAAATTTGTAACAACATTAATATTGATAGATATTGTAACATAAATCCATTTTAATAATCTTTTTCGTAGCTAATAACTACCAATGAAAGCCAGATAGCAATAAAGTTCTGAATATGAGAACTGTATCTCAAAACGTTAACTTAAAGTAAATGACTGCAAATAAATATTTTCTTATTAATTGGAAGTTTTTATTGGACCTTACACGTTCAATGTTATTGAGCCAATATAATTGAAGGTAATATATTGAAGCGATACCTCACACGGTTCAATCACATTGAATCAATATTATATAACTTAGAATCTTGCTTCCACTAAACAAGGAGATTTCAAAGCCGTTGATGACCTCCTGTAAACAACAACAAGCAACAAGGTTTCCAAAGAGGTAATCTTTGTAGAAATGAATAATAATGAACTTAAAATAATTAACCAGAGTTTCTCAAGATCGGTATATGTGGTTTAATATAGCTCAATATAACCCTTACACGTGCAATTATATTGATAAAGGAAGGAGATGGTCCGGGGTGGCGGACTTTCTCCATATTCCTTTATGTCTATTATTTCATATTATATCCTTTTTCCTTTCCTTTCAATTTCTCCTGCATATCTCTAGAAGTATATTCACATTTTCATTTATTATATATTACACTACAATTGTTAGCATCTATTTACTTCAGTTTGGGATCTGGTTACTTAGCTTGCCCTGTTCATATTTTAATGTACTTACTGTTTAAAATTTTAATAAGCTTATTCACATTGTTTATAAATTTGTTGTCTAAATATTATATATAACTTATATTATAACTTCCACAATTCTCTATTTTTTTGTATCTTGTCCGTTCTAGCCCTGAAGAAGACCTGCAAAGTCGGGTCGAAACGTTGGATTTTAATAAAATAGTTTTAGCCTATTTATGACCGCCACCCCGGGACCATCTCCTTCCTTTATAATGCAACGGTCAACTATTAAATATTCAATTATATTGATACTGTTTGAATAATATTGAAGGAGCTGCAATAAAAAGATATCAACCAGTTTGATTGACCTCAATATAATTGATGCCAATGTAGCCCTTACATGGCCAATATATTGACGAAACTCGATATTGACTCAATAATATTGACCGTGTAAGGGGTATTTTGTGACTAAATTATCTTACGATTCAAGTGGAAAGCAAATGGGTATTTACGAGTTTTTAGTGCCTAATTAAATAGACAAAGTCTTCCAACCTCCAGATTGAAAACGCCCTAATTTCGAGAATTCCCGCAGATAAAATATTTGTAGGAGGTTACGAAGAGATAAAGCTATTTATAAAGCTTCAGCCGAATGTTAATAATTTGATTAAAAAAGGGCCTGTACCACGGACTATACGGAATTCTGTACACAACAATGAATGCCTCAATCAGGGTGTTCAGAAGGGGGTTTCATGGCGCAAGTGGCATATTTTGAGGGGTTTTCGAATTTTCTAGGGGGACAAATTTTGATGGGACTATATATATTTGGACAAAGAGATAAAGGGAAAAACAAGCCACAGCAAGTTTAATTGTATAAGATCTATGACTTTTCTGATTCCACCATAGCTCTGTTTTTTAAGAAAAGTTGAACAATAAAATATCTTGGGAAGAGGAGGGAGAGATTAGGTTCTTGAACCATCGACCTTATGGGGGATGGGCACCCCTGGCCTCAATGGAAGGGGCCGAACGGGCTAACGTATGTGCACAGCACCGCGTGTTGCCTGGCAACCAAAAATAGGAGAAAATAAAATTGCGAATTCGCGTCCTGATGCCTTGGGGTCTTTTAAATTCCCCGCCCTCATCCCCTGGCGGGAACGGAAAAAAAATGTGGAAGGCCAAAAAAGCAAATGGATGGATCGAATATAACAAAGATGTAACAGAGAAGATCATAAAGCAGATAACTGGAAAGAAATAGGCCAAAGATAGGCAGAGATACAGTTGCCTTATTAAGGTGGCAAAAGATCAACAAAGTCTGTTATGCCAACGGAAATACAAAAATTAGTCACTATATGAATATGTATATACTAAATATATGATTACATTAACTTGAAGATAAGGTGAACGAAGTAACATGCTCAACTTAGTAAGAATACATCACTTACCGCTAAGCTTGTTGTTCGTCGAATAA